GTCACACAGTCATTGACCCGCATATTTGTTGAATTCAGTCCATCTTGATGCAACCCATCTCGAGTCACTTTACACAAATAGCTTATCATATTTATTGTTTACTTTTTCTAGCCATATACATAGTTTATATATTGCTATACATAATTATACACATATAATATATAAATCATGCATATATTATACCTACAATGGCTATTTTTAGTTTAAGCGGTTGGGTGAGCGGCTATTTGGGTTAATTCTTCTTTAAAGTTGGCTGATTTTAGCCCACATTAGTTCATGAATAACTTTGCTAAAATATCTTTAAAATAATTATTTTTTGTTTGATATATTATATATGACCATAACAAAAATAAAAATAGTCTTAATTGATAATTAACAATTAATAAGAAAATAACACATTACTTAAAGTTTGGTAAGAGTTGGATAGGTTGGGTAATGACCCAAATTTTAGGTAGAAATGGCATGGGCTAGCCACTATTTAAGGTGATATTTATTTTTTATCCAGCAATTCTAATGTTGAGTAAAAATAGCCACTACTCTATTAAAATTAATATGAAAAGATATTTTTACCCTTTCTTCCCTTGCTTTTCTTCCCAAACCCTCGCTTCTCTCTCTCTGCATCAAATACATTGAAAATACTGGGTACCGTTGTGGAACTCCTGCTTCATATAGAGCATAAATGAGTTAAGAATCCAAATAGCGGCTGGTAGGAGAGATGAATGTAATGTAATAGCAAAAATCTTCCTAGAAAGTTTCTTTTTTTTTTTTAATAAGTATTGTCCTAGAAAAATTTAATATGCACTATGATAAGATTCTTTCTTGATAAGAACGCCAATTGCAAATCTTGTCTATAACTCCCATATAAAGTTGCTAATCTTGATAATTATTTTCAGTGAGCTAGGTCGAAACCAGGACTCTATAGCATTTTCCAAAAAGGTTCACACCAAATCTAGAATCTAGATGCAACCCGGAGATATTGAAAATATTGCTTTTGTGCTACATGGAGATTGACTTTAAGACAGTATTTTCTCCCTGTTCTATTCCTGGTCAAACTTTAACTAACCTACTGTACTCTCATGTCGTTTATTTATGCTTTTACAGAACGAGGAGAAACATGTAAAAAGGAAGGAGCTTAATATTGAAAAAAAAGACGGTATAGGAAATTAAGGAGCTCAGTCATCATTACTTTTAGGCTACAGCTATGAAACAACACCCTACTAGCTTGAAAATGAGTGAGTTTTAGTTTCCTGAACTTAGACTAACAAGCTCAAAAGTTAAGGACAATAGGTCCTGAACTTACAGTTACAAGTTCAAAAGTTAAGGACAATAGGTTCTGAAGTCCTGAACTTAGACTAACAAGCTCAAAAGTTAAGGACAATAGGTCCTGAACTTAGGCTAAGAAACGCAAAAGTTAAGGACAATAGGTCCTGAACTTAGGCTAAGAAGCCCAAAAGGCAAGGACAGGTCCTGAACTTAGACTTACAAGCTCAAAAGTTAAGGACACTTGGTCCTGAACTTACAGTTACAAGTTCAAAAGTTAAGGACATGTAGTCCTGAAGTTAAGTTCAAAAGTTAAGGACATGTAGTCTTGAAGTCCTGAACTTAGAGTTCCAAGTTCAAAAGTTAAGGACATGTAGTCCTAAAGTCCTGAACTTAGAGTTCCAAGTTCAAAAGTTAAGGACATGTAGTCCTGAAGTCCTGAAGTTAAGTTCAAAAGTTAAGGACATGTAATCCTGAAATCCTAAACTTAGTGTTCCAAGTTCAAAAGTTAAGGACATGTAGTCCTGAAGTCCTAAAGTTAAGTTCAAAAGTTAAGGACATGAGCAGAAGGGTATTTTCGTCCGGGCAGTTAAAGTTTATTAAAGCAGTGGCTAAAGACTAAAGACATTTTAAACAGTGGCTTAAAAGTAAATACATGTGTTATTAGTGGCTAACCGTGCACTTCCCCCAAATATTAGTCTATCTTGACTCAGCTCATCTCAGCCCAAGTATATTTTGAGCAGGTCAATGGCCCGCCCATTTATTGATTTAGCTTATTTTGACCCGTCCAAAATCAGCCCAACACCCACCCTGGTTGAAGTTCTTCTCGCGGTGGTGCTCTTCTTCTTCGAACAAAAAACAAAGTTACGAAAAGGCTTAAATTTGATGAGATGTAAAAAGAAAGCTGAAAGCTACCTGCTTTTAAATAAAGAATAGAAAAAGGAAACTACAACAGATTTCATATGCAATAAACTGGTAACTGAATATGATAAATTTACGATGAATCATACATGCATGAAACAAGGTATTTCCTGCCAATCCTTGTAGCGGAGTCCATTATTATTCATGAGAAAAAAAGCCACTCACTTGACTTCTTTATTATTCGTACATAGTATCAAAGACAAAGAAATAAGAAAGGAAATGCTGAAATAATATGAAAACACTAATGCATAATATGGATTTAATAGCTAAAGTTCATTGTCACTGCACACTACCTACACGAAACATAGAGATTCATCGTAAACAGGCGACGCACGACAGGTACAACAAATTATGCAGTCACCGCAATCAACGGTTGAAATACAAAGTCTCCCACAAGTATTAAGTTGCGGCAGTATCCTCCTCTCGATTCCTGAGATATCGTAATCAACATCCCGTGCAGAAACGACATTTGTATTTGAGGACCATGGCGCATTCACTGAAATATTTCATCATATCAAATAAGAGAATGATCGATAAAATATGAAAATGAACAACAATTAAACGTCATGCATAAAAATACATGTACATCCTTACAGGCATACATGCGTATGAAACTCGTGTAAACTTGTATAAGTATAATTATATATATATGGCCAATGCAGCGATGTAAAAGTACAATTCAAAGATAAATAGAGATCTATGAGTATGGAATACTAACTAGTGGCTGCGATGATAAGAGTGGCCAGAATCAAACTCAGCTTAAGGAATGCCATACTAAGAAGAATACTTCAATTCGCTCTTTATGAATATTTGTATAAGGATATCTCATTCCTTTCCAAATGCCACAATTTATAGACCTCTCCAGAAAATGCATTTTGATTCCTTTTTTAAAAATATTTTTTCTTGTTGCTTAATTTTTCGTTGGGGTCAACTCTTTCAAGTGCTAGTCTTCGTTTTTAATTATAAATGAAATATATTATTTAAAGTTTCTTTTACTCTCACATCTCCCAACAAAAATATTTAAACTAAAATAATTTGACCAAGAAGTATTCTAGTAATTCCAATAAAAATAATGATCTGGCCTGATTTAAGATCCATTATTATTGTGAGATGCATGTGAAATTTATGATGGCTCCGTGGTCTAGTACGTAATTCGTAATATGCATATGGCTACTAATAATTTCTATTAAAGTAAGTGTTATTCTTTGATTAAAGGAAACTATATACTTTTTATTATATGACTAGTGAATTTGTTTGCATTTCACGTGATTATAAAAGATTTAGGTGAATTTATGAAATCATATTTTTTCTAGTCAAGAATATTACAATCAAATGCAAATATCTCACATTCTAAAATGCATATGTCAAATATATCCATATTTATTATATTAAAGAAATATTATAATTATTTATTGAAGAGATCAACCAAGGAACCTTAGTCACAATCTACAAAGTAGTGCCTTACTATATTTTTGTAAATTTTTAGAGTTTAACTATAGAGTTGAACGATCACTCTTACTCTATTACATGCAAACTTGCTCACATCATCTAAATTAGTTAACATATTAAAGTTTAAACCCTAATCGATTGGATTTAATATTGTTTGACTCAAAAGTTGTTTAATACCTTTTTTGCAAATCAATCAATATAGATGAAGGGGCAAATCGTAGTCAACATTAATTAATACTGGATCAAAGAACATAATCATAAAGATAGAAGAATCAAATGAAATGACACCTGGGAGGTTTTTATTGATTATATAAATTCGGCCTGCCTCTCCTTGGAGAGGTTTAGGAGATTACAATCAAGTTCTTCTTCCTCCCATTCCTCCTTTGGATGGTGGAAATCTCTCTCCCTCTCTAAGATTGTTTTGTCTCTCTCTCATGGAGTTCTTCGGTTTCCCTCCCCCCCCCCCCCCCTTAAGGGGTTCTTCTGCCTTCTATTTATAGCCCAAAACTCCTCACGCTTATCATATTTTGTTCGGGCCGGATGGGGGAGGTGACCTCGACACTCGTGTCATAAATAGCAGTGATTAGGCGAAGTCGAGTTTGTTGATTGCTGCTCGCGGGGTAGTCGGGACGGGTCCTTGCTTCTGTGTCGGTGGTAGATTCTGACCAATACAGTTAGTCCCTCCGTTCGTCGGGTCGTATCTTACCGACTCGCGACGATAATGTTTGTGACGTAATCGTGGATGGAGTCAGATCGCGTGTTTTTCTTTGGTCGCGTTATAAATTTCGAAACTGCCCTGAGGCGTCTTTTTAATACTTCTTATGCCGTCACGACGGTTTTTCAAAACCGAGAAGCCGATGATTAAACGAAACGTAGCTTTTGTACCAGCGGTCACAGCGACGCACGTTCCTAAGGAGCTGAATCGTTTCATGCCCGGCTAGGTTCTGGCGGCGACTGTTGGTTTTTGTTGCCCTGGGAATTTGTGTCTTATAAATTGAAGGGTTTGTCACTCGTTCTCACACTTTACTGCTCATCTTCGAGAGAATTCCCAGAATATCTCCCTTTCTTATTAGTTTGAGCTCTTCTTGACTCCTTTGCTCGCGGCAATCTTGAGGCTTTCTCGCTTCTTCCTCAAAGTTCCTCCCTCCTCGTTGTGAGTTAAAGATGACAGGATAACTTCTTCTCACGATAATCTTCCGGCTATCTCTCCGGCGGCCGGGGACGTGCTCCGGCAGACGGAGAATAGACCCGATGAGTGTGATGATAGGCTATAATTACGTATTTTAGTCGATTATTACACTCTAATTTACTGCACTTTAATTGAGTTTGAGCTTTAATCGCTAGTATTTTGCACTAATGGTGTGTTTTATGCCTTGTAGGAGTGATTCCGAGCTATGTAGATGTTTATGGAATGAATTCAAGTGATTGGAGCTTTAAAGTTTGAGTAAAAGTTTAAAGAATTAAGCCGGGATCGTGTTTGGGGGTCAACGGATTGATAGTTAGAGCAAACGAAGACTCCAGTAGGCATATTGCGCACTGTCTAGTAAAATAGATATAACTTTTTTCTCAGAACTCCATTTTAGCTCCACAATATATGGTTGGAAACTAACTCAAAAGGGCTACAACTTTCATGTTTTACGTTTTTTCCAAATACGGAACGCAAAGGGTGAAACATGTGCGAACGCGCGAAGTCGCGCTAGTTAAGGAGCTGGAGGCAGAATGTCAGGAAAAAATGCGCGAAGTCATGCGCGAAGGATGCGCGAGCTCGCGCTAGTCACCCAGGAAAAATGTCCTTTTTCACATTGGAGAAGGTATAATTGTTTGGGCCCAACCCTATTGGTATATATACATGGAAAAACGGTATTTTGAGGAGAGGACGTTTTTGAGAGGAAAACACAAGCACAGAGCCGCTGTGGAGGCCGGGTTTCATCTTTTCTTCCACCAACTTAGTAATTTTTTTTATGTTTCTTTGTATGATTTGTTTTTTGCTACCATGTCTGTGTGAGCTAAACTTCACTTCTAGGTTGTGGTTTCTTTCATGACTATTGTTATCGAATATTGATTTTGATTGCTTAGTTTATCATATTGTTTATTTATTTAATCCTGCACTTAATTATTTGATTGCTTGATCACCAATTGAATACTATCTACGAATCTTGAATTGAACTCGAAAGTGGAATTCTAGATTGCATATAGGAGTTGAGTAGAGCAAGTTCTTGAACTGGCATCGGGGAACGGATTCGCGGTTAGGATAGACATATACCTAATGCCTTGCTTGGTTGATTTACAGGAATTATAAATGCGTTCTTGTTGATTCTAACTCCATAGACATATAGGCGTTAGGTTAGCTTGAATAGACGAGTAAGAACTCGACAGATTCTTATGAGCAATATTAACCCTGTCAACCAATAAGCTAGATAAATTAGTCAGTCAATTCAATTGTAGAGTACAATAGGATTGTTAGATAGCCCATAACCCTAGATCGTTTTCATTACATTGATATCATAAAAATCTGTTCTTGTTCTGTTTAAAGTTCATTATTTATATTTATTTATTTAATTAGTATAGAATCAAATACCTCTAGGTTTAATTCTTGTATAGATAATTAGGATAGTCTAATTTAGTTAATAGTTAATCACAAGTCCTGTCGTGGAACGATACTCTACTCACTACTTTATTACTTTGACGATCACGTGCACTTGGTGAGTGCGTTTGGCGCAATAAGTTTTTGGCGCCGTTGCCGGGGACCTAGAAATTAACTATTCTACTAGATTGGATTTTTACTTCTTGCCTATTCAAGTTTTTATTTTTTTTATTTTAACTTAATTTAATATTTTATTATCTTTGTTGATATGGAATATTGGAATGATAATCGGTGCGAATATTGATTATTCTTATTATGTGATCCTTGTCCATATTGTGGAGGACCACCATTGTGGCAAAATTGTGAATTCCTCAATCTTATGGTAGAATATTTGTAATATGTGTGGTGGTCAAGGTGGCCATTGGATGGTTGTCCTAATTCTTATTATCCTTCTCAGAGCTCTATATTATGATGTTTTAATAATGTTTATGAGTTTGATAGGAGCAATGAAGTACAGGATATGGAAACGTGATGCATATTTTTGGGATATTCTGAGGCAAGTAGTCGAGCTACAAGATGAAATCGAAAGGCTGCACAAAGAATTAGTGCAGCAATCATGAGAATGAAGGCCGAGGCGAGGAAGTGGCTGAAGAGAGCGAATCCACCAGAAAATAATTTTGAAGAAGCAACATAGTGAGCCAATCTTGGCTAGAGGAACAAGCTCAACTTATAAAATCTCATGAGTTTCTCCGTGATGGTTCGTTCAATATGACAGAACAACTAATAGAAGCAAGAACTGAGCTCAGGCAAGAGATAGACCAATTTTGCTTAGATATCCATGACTTGCATGATCAATTGAATAAAAAGTTGAGGCGTCTGATGCCCCACAACCAATTTTGTGGATACTGGCCAGTTTATGGAGCGGAAAGAGGAACTTCATATTGCGACCAAAATATTATTAATGATGCCAAGGTTGACGAAGAGTGCGAAATTAAGGATGTCAAAAATAATACAATTTTGGAGTTAGAGCGTATTGGACCTCATTCTAAACAATTTTCAAGTTGTGTTTGGTTGGTGACATGGGAAATGATCCATTCGAGCTTTATAGAGGAGTCAATGGATGAGGAACAAAGGTTTATATTCTGAAATTTTGCGATGCCAAGGAGACAAAACGACATTCCTCACTTAAGGGCCAAGAGTGCAAGATGCGATATCTATTGCTTGGTTCCTTTATTTTCACACCACCGCCTTCATGAACGTGACAGAAAATTGATGCAAAGTTGGGAGCGCAAATCTATCTTCAAAGTGGAAGGAAAAGTGGTGAAAGTGATGGCGTCGTGCCGCGACGTTAAATCAAGCGCTTGTTGGGAGGTAACCCAAATCTATTTTTTTTTTTTTTTTTTTTTTATGTGATATATTGTAGTGTTGTTTTGTGTTTGTAGGAGTAGGAGCATGGAGTCAAAGCCAATAGGCGAGTGCAAAAACCAAGCATGTGTTTGAAATTGAGTGTGAGGTAACCGCACAAAGGATCGTACCTGGGAGAAGTCTGAGTATCCCGTGAGCTGCTAATGCTTCGGCCTTTGGCCTACCGGGGAGTCTCTTTTTACCCTCTTTGTTATTTACAGTGTGCATTGAGGACATTGCACAATTTTAAGTGTGGGGTGAGGAGATTGTCTGGGTGATTTTCTATCTATGTTAGCTTAGTTATAGTACTCTGTTCTTAGTGTGTAATTTAAAAAAAAAACTAAAAAAAATAGAAAAATTTGGACTTTTCCCGACGAATGGATTTTGTGGACAGCTTTCTTGAGGATTA